GTCGGGCGTAATGGGTTTGGCGCGGTGCCAGACCTGTTTTACACCATTGAAACGAACAAGCCAAGAGTGTATCATATTGTTCGTATTCAGTTATTGTCGTTTACCTGCATCAACAACTGGTGAAGCCTGCATCAACAACTGGTGAAGAACGGGTTTCGCCCGCCCTTCCTGCCTCACATACCCCTTCATCCGCAGCGAACGACTGCACCATGCTTTGAATTGGTTCGCGCCAAAACTCCCTCCTCCATGCTCAAGCAGTAGTCGCCATATTAACTGCAGAAAACTTATAGTCACACTTTGCAGTAGAATGACTTCTCATGCCTTCGAAAGATATTAGCTATCACCCTGTTCCATCACATCATCTCACAAAGAGAACTGTCTCACTGTTTCGACCAAGTCGTCATTGTAAAGGAGCTGGAATAATTCGAAGAGCTTTTGTGGGAAGTCTTACAAGTAGCTTAGCACGATTAGGCGTTCAGCCGGTTAGGTTGTGTACTGAGCTCTTCGAGTCGTTTCAGGTACTTGGCGAAGACGATTGGATCGAATTTCCGAAATAATAAATGGCATCATCTTGCCAAACCTTTAGTAGGACCAGAAAAGCTGTACCACCTTTTTCACTCTTATACGCAAGGATAATTTTTTTTTGCATGATCGTTGACTTTCTGTTATTCATATTGTTAAATGTCGTATATTGAACGATTCCAGCACCTTGTCAAAATTGTACAGCAAGATCGTTCGCTGTTCGAGAAGTCTATCAAAGCTGCAGATATATTGCTGACAAGCAAGGTAGGTTTTCGTTGTTTGTTGAATTGGAAACGAGATCCACTTCTCTTACAACTTTATATACGAAAAAAAATGCCATTACTTATGGGCCAACCCAGTAGCTCGGTAAAAGTGGGGTCCAGATTAGAGTCCTGCTGAGGATGGTGTTCACGCCCCACGACTAGTTTTTGTGGTGCATTTGACATTGGTTTTCCCCGGAAAGATGTACTTGTGTTCTGCATGTTATGTATGTATGTATGTGCTCTGCAAAAATGAAGACTTTTGTAATTATTAAATTACAGCTCGATAGTTTCCGCAGTTCAATGATCTCGCATAAGTTTGTTTATGGTGAAATCCTCACCCAACTGAGCCGTCCTTCATGTGCGCAAGCGTTTCTTTCTGGAACTGATGGAGCCCTCGTTAGTAGTTCATTTGTCATTATTTTCCGTTTCAAAAACCATTTCTGTAGCTCTTTACTTTTTGTAGTCACTGTAGTTTTTCAAAAGCAGTAGCATGATTTGTGCCGGCATGTGGCGCTAGAACCACGCGGCGTCGAGTTGTCATCTCCCGATTTGTGGAGGCGGGCGATTGTTGTCAGCGTCTTGGTGGGAAGGCATTAGCCACCTCGCGCAAAACGTTGGGCAGTTTGGCGAACGCCGTCCTTCCGCCCTTCCACCAATCACGTTGACAATAACCGCCCCTCCCCTATCCACCAGTCGTACCCACTGACTTTAATGCTTTTCTATAACACTTTTAATCCTTGTAATTACAGACATTGAAGCAGGCAGAAATTGACTTTCTACAACGCTTGAAATCGGCTTGGTACCCTTCCTTTCGTGAATGCTCTTCATTGAAGTTGGTGGAGGCGAAAGCTGCTGAAGCATCTCGCGTTGTTGCTGCTGTTCTATCTGCGAGTGAGGCGGTTGTAGACAAGGAACTCAATTTGAAAGGTTCTTAGTTTATCTTGACTTTTTTTTCTCGTTCCTTGGATGGGAATACCGTCTGTTACCTGCGAAATCAGCACTGTGGCTCGCAATTTGTACTAAGTGAATTACTTATCGCGGAAAGTGACGCAACGTTACGGTGGACTGTTGCTTTTCATGTTTTGCATCATTTCTGTATGCTCTCTTTGGGCACTATTCCTACCATTACGACTACAAATCAAAAAAAGCGGAAGCTTCGCCTGTAGAGGTTGGTTGCTGTCGGTTTGGCGCTAGCCCTGTTTGACGGTAGTTTGGCGCCGCCTCCTTTCTTA